GGTTGTCAAGTAACTCAAAAAAATCACATTTCAATAATTAGAATCAATTATCAAATAGATAAGAAGAAAGTTGAAAAACAACTGAGTTGAAGTTAAACTACGTTAAAATGTAATTTTTTTGGTTACATCGTGTCTATATTACGCTGTGTTAACCAATAGAAAAACCAATCGTCATGTTTCTCTTATCTGTCATATCGCCCCGGAAAGAAGAGCAATCAGGAGGATATCTAAACTAGCTATTTGGTGTGCAAATGTCGATACAACTTTGCCTACAGAGATAATCATATGACCATCATGAACCAACAACTAATGATCACTGACAATTACGGCTATCATCGATGCAAATTCCATCTTAATATGGCCTGTACCGCATTGGCCGCCTGAACCTTGGAACCCTCCTGCAAATGAAGTTAACAGTTAATACATTTATTCAGGCAAATGGTAAAAGATAAGAGCATAACAAATATCAATTCTTGTTTTCTATCGTAGCAACCAAAGAGGAAAAACATATTCTCACGCTTACCCGTAACTATATGGAGCATAGAAGGCAGGACCAGGCATGAAAGGCCCTCCGGATTGATAAAATGGGTTCGGTCGTCTTCCTCGATACTTTTTCATTCCAGGAACGTTTGTCCGCTTAGCGGAGACCTACATGGAAACCGACACAGGGTTATAACCACATAATTTATTTTCAGAGCCTATAATCATCACAAAGATTAAACTAAAAACCTTTAATTGACGACCATGCAGTTCTGATTCATTCAACAAAAGAGCGTTCTGAACAGCATCAATTTCTACAAATTCAACATAAGCAAATCCTTTTGGCTGGCCAAATTTGTCTGCCAAAATTGTCACTCGGTTTACAGTCCCACAGGATTGAAAATGCTGCTGGACCTCTTCAGGAGTACATGCATAGTCTACCTGAGGAAACAAATATATATATATATATATATATAATCTAGTTAGTTTAGTTCCAAGTAATCAATGATTTATTAACAAATTGAACAGTTTATTTGAAGTTTTCCCATTCCAAAGGATGCAAACAATATCAAACAGAATTGAGAAAACAAAATTGATTCCCCAAAATTTAAATTATCATTAAAAAAATTAGAAAAAAAAAAATAAAAACATAAAACACAAGGGAAGGATAGATGAACCTCACATTACCAACATAAATTGACCGGGAATCAATTTCCTCCTTTTCAGCTTGAGAGGCAGTAGCACCGGATGGATCTTCATGGAGGAAAAAAAATCAAACAAATAAGTCACCACAACAAACAGCTTGCATTGCATGATAGCAATAAATCAACAAACAGCTCGTATACAAAATCACAAATCACGGCAAGTGATAACATTATTTTCAAAATCAAGAGATATTATCCTTGTCAATTAAAACAATGAACCCATTCACGTTTGCAATTCTTTAAATAGATCACCTACGGATGCCAAGAAGATGGTAAGAGCAGCTAAGAATAATTAATTAACTTCCTCAATAGACCATTCCGAATCAGATATATGATCACGTCCAATTAATACAAATACAAAACATTCTTCTAAGAAATTCACAGATCTAAGAAAAAATCTCACAGTTCTCAATCAACTAAAGACCATGACCAATTGTTTCTTTGAAAATTGCATAACTCAGCTCTCTTTCAGCTTCTTGTGACCCAAACATAACCAACCAAAACATGGGACTGATAATTATAAGCTACGGTAAAGTTGAGAATTCAAATCTAGAGATACCAGTAACCATAAACATCCAACAGAAAATACAGAGCAAAAAGGGAGAACCTTGGACAGCGCCCATCTCCTTCTCGACTTTCGCTTGCATTTCGCGGAGGGCGCCAGCCTCTTCTTCGATCTCCTTGAGTCTCCTTTTCATGTCCTCCAATTCCTATTTTTAAAGTTGCCATCATCAGACAGAAGCTAAAGCTACAGAGAAAGCTAAAAGGAAAGCAACCTTGGAGCTGGCGTTTGGATCAATCTCATGGCCCTCATCTTCTTCACCTCCATCGTACATATCCGCATCGGCTTCCATCTCTCCCTCGTCCGGTATATCTCCTCCGTACACCTCGTGCTCTTGCTCTTGATCTTTGTGTTGCTCCATTGTTTCTACTTTCTACTAATTCGAATCTATTCAGTGTCTGTGGTGACAGGAATTAGGGATTTGGTAGTTTTAGGGTTTCCAGATCTAGGGTTTTCAATTTGGGGAAGAACAGAAGAACTCCGATTGGAACTGCGGAGGTCGTGTAGAATTTCGCGCAAATATTACGAATTCATAAACGTAATTGGGTTTAGAGGGCCTTGGACAGGAACCTGGCCCAGGATCAGGCCCTTCAGTTTAGCAAATCACGGTGAGCCCATCATCATATTTCCTCGTTTTGGTGCTAAATGGTGGTACGCCCCTTGTGATTTAGGTGAATTACAACTAACATCACGTACTTTAAAATGGTACCTATAAAACCCTTCGGCTTTGGTTCCTTCCAAATCCAACAGTTGGTTATATTTAGTAAAATGTCCCAAATAAGATTTTTTCTTTTTTTGAATTTTGGATTGCATAATGAGATTGAGAGGCAATCCTTTACCATTATTTTTATCTACCTCACTCATATACTTGTAATTTAAACTTTATATCTTTTACTTCATTTTGGATTAAAAGATTATCACTAAATTGTTTAAGTTATTGGCATAATTTAAGTAAGATTTAAATGAATGTAAGTTGATCTCAACTCATTAATGTTAAAAGAAAATAGTCATGCCAAGACAAGTTAATTAGTTTAAGGAGATAGGCATATTGATTTTTAGAAGACTTAGCAAAAGTTGTTTTTTAATGTATTGGAATAAATAATTCAACTCCGTGGGAGAAGAGAGGCAGGAAGGGGGAGCAATTGTGCGAGAGTTCGAATGAGAGATTATAAATACTTTTTGGCCTATTGGCTATTGGTTTATTAATTTATACATATATGTTATGTTATTCTTGTCACATATATCTAGTGCAATATAATCAAACACACTAGACCCAGCAAATAATAATTAACAAAAAAAAAAAAAAGGGTTATATATGGTGTTGTCTTTTGTCTAATAACATTTATTTTATAATTCAATGCAATTCAAATAGTAAAATATAAAATTTTAATAATATCAAAAAGTTTCTTTTTTTTAAAAGTATACATGCTTATTTGCATAAGAACATATCACAATCATACGTGAATATATAAAAACTTTAGCCGAACCTAAAATAACAACAAAAGAATCTCAGTCTTTATTGTTGATAATATAAATATAGATTGCGGACAGTTAGGGCTGTATGATAGTCCTGACAAGATCAGGGTCATCCATCATGTGACTTCAAGTTGGATTTCACGTGAGGGTCACATGATGAATGATTTTGATCTTATTAGGACTGTCAGACAGTTTTGGTTTTTCGTTTTCTAATATAAATAAGCTTATTTAGCCATGATCATTCTTTCATGGTAGAATTCTTCTCATGGAGTAGTAATGCCTGCAAAACAAAATAATAAAATTCGTAAGTATTCATAAATCATAAGTAAATTAAAAATCAATAGTAAATTTTAAAAAATATATAGAAACAATTCATAATGCTTACTTCCACACTTGAAGTTGTGGGGCACGGTCCGACCGCAGGATTCAATCTGCTTAATGGTGCGTTCAACTCCGATGAGTGCCGCCAGCTTAGGGGTGACGACGGGGCAGACACACTCAACGTGTGTCACCCCCACGCGCTGGCAGCAGTACGATGAGGGATTGCGGCCAAATATGACCGGCCAGCAGGCATTCACCAGCAGCCTCCTCTCCTCCTTGCACTGGCTGGGGTTCATGTCCCCTTTTACAATGGGAGCATGAAAAACAGCCATTAGGACTAGAACTAATGCCAAAATGCCACTCCATGCGCTGGCCATTCTAAATTTCCTCTTCTAAATTTTTGTGTTTTTCTATTTTTTTTGGCTGATTTTTCTATTGAATATGGGTAATGATTAAGAACCCATAAGTTCTGAAGGAGAACCTAGATCGGATTAAATTGTGTAACAGGCGTCATCCTCCTCCTTTGCTATTGTGTCGCCACGGGATCAGTCTTCAACGACTCCAATCTGATCAGATTGGTCTCCGATGGCCTCGATGACTTCGACTCCTCTATCCTCCAAGTCCTCGGCTACACTCGCCATGCTTTCTACTTCACCCGTTTCGCTTACAGGTTGGGGAAGAGGTACGAAAGTGTGGAGGAGATAAAGGTTCGGTTTCAGATTTTCAAGGAGAATTTGGATTTGATTAAATCCATGAACAAGAAAGGACTACCTTACACTCTTGTTGTGAATCACTTTGTTGATTGGATTTAGGAAGAGTTTCAGAGACATAGATTGGGAGCTGCTCAAAATTAACGAAAACTATTAAAGTGTGTCAAAATTAACGGAAACCATTAGAGTGTGTAACAAGATAGTGTGCATGAATCGATATCCATTGAAGAATTATTCCTTTTCTCCTTTTTACAGAGGAGAGGAGATTGATATTTGGATGCATTAAACATTTAATTAATTTGATATTTTTTTCAGGGATATCTTCGTAGGGGTTTCTCTTAGTGGACTTGGAAGTCAAAAATCGGCAGGGAAAATGGATTAATTTGGGCCGTGTTTGAAAAGTTGCTCGTAGATGAGACTACAGTACGAACACATGTATATCCTTTCCCAATTGACCTCTTTTTTCCCATTTGAGTCGATTTCATTCTACATTTATGAAAAATTAAACCGGGGTAATGCTCCCTCTCTCTCTCTTTTTATTATTTTTTCCATTTGTTAGAAACAGAAAATAAAAAGAAATAGTTTTAAAAAAATTATTTTTTTAATTTTTATTATATATACAATGATCTCATATATATAAATTTATACAATGAAATATTTTTAAATATAAAACTAATTAACATAAATATATATAATTAATTATGATATGAATATAATATACTAATATTTTAAAATAAATGCTAATATTACCATTGATTTTAAGATTTTGAATTTAGATTCTTTTTAATTTTTATTTATTGAACAACTCTACTAGAGGTTTCGAGTTCATTTCACAATAAATTCAATTTGTGAAAGAAGTAGATTTGAACCGAAGTTTTAGCCTTTGTAGATGCAGCTTATAACCAAGTGGGTTAATAAATAAATACATGATAAAACTATAATATATATATATATATATAAATGTATGATTAAACTGAATTATGAATGAAATTAATTATTATTTAGAAAGTTAAACAGTCTCCAGATAGGAAAGCAAATGGCATCTTGTTGACTTAAATCTAAAAACATGCTTTGGAATTACGCAATGCTATATTTTCTATTGAAGTTGTTTTCCAATATATTCATCATTTTCACATCGGATTGTCGGACCACTTTAAAGTGGTGGACCATTTGATTTTGACCTAAATGCAGTTCAGGAAAATACCGTTTAAACTGAATAATTGACGGTCTTTCATTTTGTTGAACCTTCCAGAGGACCAGGACTCTTTCCTCTCTTCCTCTCTCTCCTTTTTTTTTTCTTTTATGAATATTTGGTAGGAATTTTTCTTTTTTGCTAGAAGCAAGAGATTGTATTTTGAACCAGCTTGCAAACGTCATATTAATTCATTATTTATTCTACCTTCATATTCCAATCAAAAGCAAATCGTTTGTAGTTTAAAGAAATAAAATGTCGAAACCTATCCCTTTGCTGAGGCTTTTGTTCATCCCAAATTGTCGATGCTGGGGTCTTGATTGCTTGGAATGTGAATTTTGTTTTGGTATAAATTTCCTAGCTACGTACGTACATATATGAATTCATTTTCGGAATGAAAATTTTATGGTCTATATTCATGTAAAATCATTTAGTTGTAATTGTAAACCTCAAAAGCTTAAGTTGTGCTTGATTTATAATTTAATTGATTAATTATAATGAATTTTTATATTTTTAATATTTTATGATGGGCCATATAAAACCTAATCCCTCCCCCACCAGCTGCTTTAGACTTGGCAAATGTTGGGTTAGGTAGATTTAGATTTGGTCATTTTAATCTTAAATTTATTGGGTTCGCAAGTCAAAGCAAACAATTACTTATGATTTACTCAAATGGATCTTAGGTTGAATAAGTTAAATTGCTAATTTTTTAAAATTAAAAAAATTCAAATTTTCCTCATTTGCCTCCAATCAAATCTAATAAACTAAAATTAAATTTAAAATTCCAATAAATAATAAATATCTCCATCTAAACACAGCAATAAAGCATAGAAAAGTGCTGCAGCAATTAGTGAAATTTTCCATTTAGGAGTACTGTTTTTTCCCTATCTCTATTGTTGTCGACTGTCAAGGCACGATACCATCATCTGTGTCGTGCTATGTGGGCAAACAAAGTTACATTCCACTTCCCACCACACACATTCAAACTAGCAACTTTTTCCGGTGAAAATATAGAATATTTACATTGAGCTTGTTTCACTTAACTGCAGTTTTTTTTTTTCTTTTTTCGTTACGCAGGAGTTATAAGTTTGATAACATTTTTTGAGAAAGTGTATTAAGTTATGAAATTAAACAAATTATTAAAATTTATAAAAAAATTTCAAAAGCTTAATGCAAAAATTTAACTTAAAATCAGTTGGTAGTTTTTCACTTGATCTCTTGTAAAGTAATGATGAAGATCTTTTGAGAACACTTTGAGAACACAAGCCAAAAAAGAGACATCAAACTAAAGTGTTTAATAATATCATTGTTTATTAATATAATATGATATGTCACAATTCATTTTTTTTTTTTGAACAACATGTCACAATTCATTTAATATCACATGTTACAAGTAAATATTATAAAATTTTATTATAAAATAATATTGTGGGCGGAACTTCAACCACGCCCAAAATATACAACAAGAGAAGGATCTCACGGTATCTTTTCTTGGATTTATAATAGGCTTTTATTTAGTCTTCATATCGTATGGTAGGATTGCCATTCTCATGGAGTAGTGATGCCTGCAAAAATGAAAAAAATTTGTAAGTTTACGAATTGAAATTTTTTTTTTAACATGTACTTTTAGATAGAGCATAAGTTAAAGTGTAATTATTTTTTTTAATATTAATTGATATTAAAAATAAAATTAATCCTTTATTTAATTAAAATAATTTAAATAACATTAATAATAAAATTAATAACAAAATTTTTTTATTTTTTTATTATTAATTAATATTAAAAAAATATAATAACTATACCCTTAATCTCTTCGTATGAAATAGTCAAAGTAAAATAAAATAATGAAGAGTAAAATTAAAATCTATATGTTAGATGAAGAACTTACTTCCACATTTAAAGTGGTGGGGAACAGTCCTGCCGCAGGCTTCAATCTGCTTAATGGTGCGTTCAACTCCGATGAGCGCCGCCAGTTTAGGGGTGACGACGGGGCAGACACACTCAACGTGCATGACCCTCACGCGCTGGCAGCAGTCCGGCGAGGGGCTGCGGCCGAATATGACCGGCCGGCAGGCATTCACTAGAAGCCTCCTCTCCTCCTTGCACTCGCTGGGGTTCAAGTCCCCTTTCACAACGAGGGGCTGAAAAACACCCATTAGGACCAGCATCAATGCCAAAATTCCACCCCATGACCTAGCCATCCTTAATTTTTCCTCTTCTAATTTCTTTGTTTTTCGACTGTAAGTCTGTAAGATAAGTTGTTGTGTTTTGCAGTGAAGACGCGTCCTCCTTTTATAGGGAACAATCGGGAATTTAAATATCTTCAAAATTTAATTAATTTTGACATTTTCCTGTGGATATGGGATATTTTATATTTCCGCATCAGTGGTTTCTCATCATCGGCGTCTCCGCAGACTTGGAAGTCAAGATTGATGTGGCAATTGGCCCAACTTGCGCAATGAATGGTGCTGTTTCGGTGGCTTTAATTAGTTCGGTATATGATTGGTTTGAACCACTGTGATTGTAAATTTTTTAATATTTTATTTTAAAAATAA